CCCACACCCCTGTGTGCGGTGGTGCCGCCCCCCCGAACCCCGCAAACCGTTCAGCGAGTGGAGCCCCGATCTAAACCCCAGCGGTGCATGGCAGGAGGGGTGAGGCGACCCAACTCTGGCCTTGCTGGGAAAATAGAACGACCGTGGCCTTGGCAGCGGCGTGTTGCTGTCTGTAGCGGCATCGGGTTCGCACGCTGCCTGGCAGGACATTTCATGCTGCTGCTGTGCAGCTTCGCCTCCGTTCATAAATAACGCTTACTTCTTGTAATTACGAAGCAGTTAATCGTTACGACTTCAGCCAACTTTCTGCTGAAATCTGATCTTGCGTGCTCCAGAAGGCGTAAGGCCAGAGTACTGGGTCAGCTGTCCAGCTGGATGTTTGCTTTCTGCACCGGGGTCAGCCTCTGTTTGTAACAGCCACTGGTGTAGCATTTGCAGAGGAGGACTAAGTTGTATTATCATTTGCGGTCTCTTTGCGAAGGCAGAGCTGAGGTGGCTGTGGAGGAGAGGACTGTAAGGGTCTTGCTTTTGCGGTATTTTTGAGGGGGTTTTTTTGTGGGATGCGGAGAGGACCTTCACAGCTTGTTTCTTGGTTGCCCACATCTGAATTGTGACATTCCTCTGAGGGATTTGGGCCAGCACAGTGTTAACCCCCACCCGGAGGCAGCTTTTATGGTGGGAATATAGAACCTTCATTTTTAAACAGTTCTGTGCAATTTCAGGAAATGAAACTGAAAAATATTTGAATCTAGAGGGCAGGAATTTTGCACTTTGCATGGGAAAATCAGATAACTAGCTCTCCTGAGCAGCAGGGTGAACCTCTCTGGCAGGAACGAGGAGGCTCCGAGCTGTCTGTGGGAGAGGAGAGCGGCTGCAGTCTGGTGTGGGGTCGTGGCGGGCAGGGCTGATTCTTACAGTGCCTGATGCCACAGGGACAGTGCTGGGGAAAGAGGCTCGTGTGAAACCAGCAGCCTGCCAGCATCTGTCAGACAAAACAGCCGAGTTCGGGGCCTTCTGGAGGAAGGTGGTGAACAATTTGCATGGATGTTGCCAGATCTGTTACTTGCTTTTGGCTGTGTAGGTTCTAATTTCCCAAGTCAGATGTGCCAATACCTTGACAGTTTACTGGGACTGTGCCGCTAAAAGGCATGATAAAAATACTAAAACCAGCAGGACTTCTAAGCAACCCAGTTGCTATATTCATATGTATTTTTATGTGCTGTATATCAGAAGGAAGCTGTGCAATAGCTCCGCACACGTCAGTGTAACTGCAAGTAGGTCTGTTGCACCTTGATGGAGAAGACAGGGTTTTGACAACTAGGGATGCTACGCATATCCCCAACAGAGAGGTCATTTCGAATGGCTGGAATCGCTTCTTTCCCTCCCTCCTGTGTTTGAGGCATTAATGGACTTGCTGCCTGAAACTGGAGCAGAGAAATTTAGAGAAAACGTCTCCGGACCTCCTGAGATTTTACATAGCTTTCACTGTAATAACGTTTACTTTAAGAGCACTGAGAACTCTCTAAGGCGAGCATTTTCTACAAATAGTAACTAGTTTTTGAGTTCCCCTCCCAGTTTTTGAGAGAGTTGGTAAGGGAGACTGTGACAGCAAAATTAAATGGAATAAACACAAAGGGAAGTCTATCATGTACTATATAAACTATGTAAACACTCTTAGGAAGACCAGCCTTAACCACTTAAGTCAATAGGCGAGACCAAACCCATGCTCTGACTGCACGTTAACCTTTAGCCAGGTCATGGTAGGGACAGTTGGGGCATTAAGCAATGAATGGAGCTCATACCGGTCTCTGACAGTTTGTACTTGTTCACTTACTAAATGTAAGTATTTACTAAATCATTGTATCTTGAGTCACATTCAGCTGCTGATCTCAGCTTCTTTCTGTACATTCAGTCAGTTCCCTGATGTATTGCTCTCCTTTCAACATGTCAAAACCCTGCTCCTTGACCTTGCATTGGTTACGCCACCCATCCTGTGCTGTGACCGTCTCCTGCTTCATCTAGAGTAGGCTTTTCTGTGGCTTCTCTCCCTCTCTCTCTCATCTAAGCCTTTCCTCTACTCATTGTAACCTCTTTATCGATATATGGATGGACTTTTCACACCAAGATAGTGACGATGCCTTTTATCCTTGCTGGCACAATTTGCTTTATTTCTACCTACCCTTCTTCTGCCTAAACACCTACCTGTCTTTTGTCTTTCTTCTGGTATCATCTTCCTGTTTCGTCCCCATACTGCTGTCTGTGGTAGAGCTTCAGCCAGTCTGTCTTTAGCTCCCTCTTAAAATGACTTACCTTACTGTCGTTTCTGAACAAGTTCTGGTGGTAGATGCCTTGAGTAAATCAGATCTCCCCATGTCCGTAGTTGCCTTTGACTGCCACTGAAGGCTCCATAAGTCTTATCTGTTTAGTTGGTCAGACAGGGAACCTGGAAACAAAATCAAGTTTCGTTGTCTGGATTTTATTTCCTTAAAGTAAGGGGGAATTTAATCTTGAGGATCTCTTTAAAGGGCTGCTCTCCAGATCTGGAAAAGGGACACTAAATTCCCCTTAAAATACCCTTCATTGCCTCAGATTTGCAGGGCAGACCCACCAGCACAACATGGCTGTATAACCAGACACTGCACAAATAATTTATCTCCAATATGAGTAAAATAGATTATGCTTCACTTTCTCATCATGTTTTCCCTTGAGTCAAGCGCTGCCCATACTGCTGCAGGGTGTTACTTCCCAGCCTGTCCTGCTCTCTGGTGTGTGGTTCAGTGGGGCAGAAATTACCCAGTGCCCTACTCCACCAGAGCCTTCAAGCACAGGCTGAGCTTACAGATCAGAACCACTGAAAGCAGCTCAAATTTAGCAGGCTCTCCTCTCCATTCCTGAAGGAGCCTTTTCACCCCACTATATCCTCAGCACCCTCACTGGTGCTGAATAACAGGCAGAAATGCTTAGGAAAGCCATATAAGCCTAGTTGACGCAGAGAGAAATTATGTAAGTAGCAGCAGGATGCAAAACTTCAGGGGAAGTCTCCTCTCTTCAGTTATCGTGTAGGAAGCTAACAGAAGACTGTATGGTTTCCTAGGCACAGCTACACTTATTGCTATTTTAATCCAGCGTTGAACATTTTTCCAGGGAGAACAGATAACAGGATACTCTTGCAGACTGCGGTAATACTGTCCTTGCGCCTGCACTTTTCCCCAGCGTACTTCTGATATAGTGACTGATATAGAGCCTCGTGAAAACTGGCCCAGAGATTTAATAAGCAGTAACGTCTACGTTTCTGACCTCCCTAGACAAACTCCTGACCCAGTTGTCTCTCACCTTATTACACACACAATCTGCTGCTGAGATCCAGTATTGTGAATGTATGTGACCAGATAGATTTTAGCCCCTAATGATTCAAACAAAATAAATTATGAAGTTGTGGAGTTTTTTTAACATCAAGGACTTTTTTCTTTATTCATTCATGTTACACTTTGCAATACAGGTATAAACCAAGGCAGATAAAGTAAATTGTGCTCCTTCAATTTGAGTAAGTGAGGAGAGTGACTTGGAGCAGGCTCATGCTCTCTTGTCTTTTCCTGTCTTCTAAAGTTTATTTTATATTCAAGCAGTTAGTATTCTAGGTCCTACACGTGGCTCAGAAAGAGAAACAGGACAGTTGGAAAACCCTAGGAGAGACAAAGGATCTTCTAAAGATGGCCAAGGAATTTCAGGTTTCCTACATTTTTTGTGCTGTCAGTTGAAATCAGGGGTGGGGCATATTCCGTGCAATTTCGTCTGCTCCTGGAATTAGTAGTTGAAACTCAGAAGACACCTCATGTGATTGATGTGCCACAAGATGGTGTGAATTCAGAGCCTTTTCCTTAGTGCTGTAGCATTCAGGTACCTTTTCAATGTTAATTTTGTATCTTCAATAATCATAGAAACTGAGAAGGAAATTAAGCAACATGTCCAACGCTTTCCTCCTTAAGGATTGTCGTGGCCATCAAATTGCTCCTTTAAAGTAGTTTCAAGGTATGCAGTGTTACTGTTCCAGACACACACTTACACATACCTATCAGTCTATATAACTTGTAACATAATAATATTGCAGAGAAAATCAAGGTTTAAAAAAACATTTAAAAGCCTGGCAAATAATAAAACACTACTTTTATGGTCTTCCAGTTGATGACAGATTCATCTGACTGTGTTACAAAATGTTTGGGGAGAGCAGATTGTTGACAACACTTTAGATTTAGAAATGGCCTTCCATTTATAGTTTCCACTTCTGGCTGGAATAGGAATGCTCTAAGGGGCTTTTCTGCTTAGCACAGGAGGGATCTTTCTGACCTCTGCTGAGGTGAACTAATGCAAAACAAATATCCTTTCCCACAATATATTTCTACTCTTGTTGAGCTGTAACCTCTCAGACCTGTTAATGTTGCCTCCTAGGGCTTTTGTATCAGGAATATCGAGATAAATCTACACGCCAGGAGATTGAAACCAGACGACTGCAGGATTCACAGACAGACCCTGAGGAGAGTTCACCCAGTGAGGAAACCCCATCTGAAGCAGAACCTACAAGTACAATCGAAAGCAAAGCTCCACCGCAAATCAGTTTGCTGAGGAACTCCAACTCCAGGTTTAACTTATGGCAGGATCTTCCTGAGATCCGGAGCAGCGGAGTCCTCAGCATCCTCCAGCCAGATGAGATCAAGCTCCAGGAGGTAACAGGGGAAGGCGGACTGTTTCTTAGCTGGGTTGCTGCTTAAAAGAGTGAGAGTGAATTAAGTCAAATTATCAAAATCTAAAAATTAAAAGCTTCTTAGCAGTCACAGACAAGTCTTGCCCTGCTGATTACTTTTCTGTGTTGCACTGGTTAGCACCACTCACTCTTTTTTTGAAACTACAGATGTTGTTCTGTATGCTATTGCTGCTGAACATTACTGTAGCAAAAAAGAACTTATTTTCCCTTTTCTAATTCAGCATTAGGAGCAATTTACAAAGGAAGGGAGGGATAATGAAGAGGCTCTTGCAATAGAGCTTTTGGTTCCCCATGCACATTAATCCTTTTCTAAAGTTACTAGCAAGATACATACTTGCCACCAGAAATCTTAGAATTCAGCTGTTAACTTTGTTTTAAATATGATGGCATTAACAGAAAGGGAAGAGACGGAGACTGATAAGCTTCCGTATTTTAAAATATTGTTACTTGGAGTCTTATGCAAAACAGCAAAATATAACAACAGGCATATTTGCAGTTTAGCCATACAGTGCAGTGACATCACTATTTAAGAGTCACATGCTGCTAATTTATAGAGCTGCATCAAACAGTGAAAGGAGTAGGTGGGGCTGCCACAATTAATGAAAACATCAGTCACACAACCATTTACAACTGGTTGCTATTTTGGGGAGCGTGGGGAGCGTGAGCACTCTTCACTGGATTTGTAGCCAGCAGTGGAGACGAAGCAGCCTTGTTCAGTGTGTGGTATGCGTTATAATATGAGCAATGGGCCTTCAAAGGCTCAATCCTGTGAGTCCTACCAGATTCCTGTGCCAGAATTGCTTCTGGTGAGACTGTTGTGACCCCCTATCTGTTCAGCGCTGGCTCATGAGATTGTACCCAAAATGAAGAACACCTCTGGGTGTGAGCTGTTCCGCCTAAGTTTACTTGGATTTGCACAATCAACATTTATGAATCCCGTGTGTATACAGTGCCACCCTAGTCCTGGCCAAGGCTGTAACTTCCCTGTTACACTGGAAAGGATCATCTCGTGAACCACAGGGCTGTGATGGGCAGGGCAGTGTTATTTACACCCTTGGTGGAAGGGACCGGTGTTTATACAGGGTAGCTTGGGCTGGCAGCACAAGGTGTTAGTGTGTCAGGGTTATGGCTGGAGGTGACTAAAATTTGTTGTTTTTCCATGTTCTTCTTCTGCACTCGTTATTTCCATATCAGATTTGTTCTGTTTACCTGGCAAAACACGGTACTTCTAACTGCCAGCATTACAAACACAATCTGGCATCTGACAAATTACAAGCTTTTTTCCTTTCTGCTTCAAAATGGGGAATCTTTTACAGAGAAACAGTCGCTTAAAAGTTTGCGTTACAGATTTCAAAACCTGCCATTTCTGTTGAGTTATGTTCATTGCCTGGAGGTGTTCTAAAGAAAAAAAATCTCTGTGCTGCTAAACCTCAACATTAAGTGTGCTGAATTTTCTTCTCTCTGCTTAAATAACATCAGAAATAAAGCAGATGGGGATGGGACAGAGCTGTCTTAAAGAAATGCTGTGCTTTCCCCTGATGTATGTTTATCAGAGCTGAAATTTTTTTCCTGTTTGTTCTGGGATTAGCACAGTAAGAGATTATAAAATTGCTCAAAGCCAGAAAACTGTGAAATTGGCTGAACATTGAATAGATAAAATGGAGAATTTGCTTTGTGAGCAGAGTCAAGGACAGAAAACAAGGAGGGCTGGAGAAATCACTGAGGCAATTGAAGAGATGATGTTAAATTCAGCCTTGCCATAAGCAAGCACTGCTTGCTCCTGCAGCGCTGGAACTGTGCTCACATTGTATGTGAATCGACAGTGTGAGCTGTGCATGAGGGCTTGATTATGTGACTGTAAAGTGTTCAGCTTCATGAAGAATTGCAGGAATTTACCTGAAGTACAGGGCAGCAGAAATTCGGGAGTAAATGTCTTAAGGACAAAATCGTACCTTTCTGACCCATTTTATCTTCAAAGCTGTGGTAAACACAGGGACTAGAAGAGCTTGCAGCTTTTCAGCCAGGAAAGGCAGAACAAGAGTATTATTTACACCATAGGGAGGAATACCAGTACCGGAATGGAAAAAAATGTGAAGCAAACCCCCCTGTTCATAGCTGAAGAAGGGAACGCCACCATAACTGTGATGGAGCAGGGCTTAAACAGTCAGAGAAAAAGTTGCTCATCTACAGTAATCTGCAAAATGAACGAGACAAGAACAAGAAGAGGATTCTGGTCTTTGTTATTGGCGACAATGGAAAATGACTGAGCAGGTTATCAATACAAGATAAAAAGCAAGACACAGGTGTTTTTCAAGCATCAAAACAAGAAACTTGACTGAAAGAGCAATGGATGCTCAAAAAGTGTCATGGAAGGCAATTCATCATTGTCCCCATTGAAACAAATGAGCCAGAAAGTGGAGTTTCACGAAGGAGAAAAAACAAAGCAAAACAAACAAAAATCCCCAAAGCCACATCTACCCTCCAGCAATTCCAGCAAAAAAATGTTTTAGCATGGCCTGTTAGCCCCAGGAATGCAAACAGAATTCAGCCTGGGATGCCCTCTGCCACACCAGCCTTTTTCATCTGAAGCAAATGTGAGAGTAGCAAGATGTAAAGCAACAACTGGAAGTGTCACAAAAAATGTGGGTGCAAATGCAGAAAAAGGAAGAACAAAAGAAAAAGCAGAAGATATGTTACATGAACCACCAAGGACTTTAACTATATAGAAGATGTAATGATGCAAGAAGAACAAACCAAAAGAAATGCTGTTTGGGTTCTGACATGGAGCTGACGTGGGGGAAATGGCAGACAAACGTGTGTAGCAGGAGGAACAAACGACTAGAGAGAAAACACACTCCCTGTGTTACATGTGATTTAGGTTAAAACAAATTCTGTCACCAAGGTACTAGGCTCTGAAGAGGTAGTGATCTAGGGATTAGAAGAAACAACATTTAATCAGTGAAACGTCTTTCAGCAAAAACCATAAATTAGATACTGGTATGGCCTTTTTGTGGAGAGGCTCCGGTTTATTCCTCTTTCCCAATTCAGTTCTCTACTTTTCAGTTTTATTTACTGTATTGTTTCTTAATTTTGCCCTTTTCTGCTTGCTAACTGTATTGATTTTCCTGTGCCGTGTTCATCTTCTGTGTTTTAAGAGATTCCAAGCTGAGTAGAACTCACCAAAACCAATTTACTAATAAAAATAGTTTAGCAAAGTATTCTCAATCTTCGAACTGAACCCTTTTTTCTGAGGTATATCAGCTTTGATAGTTTTTTCAAAGGGTTATTTGGATTCGGATCACTTTGTCGTTAGGAAAAGGGACAGAGACAGGCTAATGTGCACCATGTGTTATGGTGTGAATTTAGATCAGAGAGCTGCTGCTCTGAAAATTTTTTTTAGCTCAAGTGAAAGAGGGACTTGAACTTGGTTGTGGGCACTGGTGACATGACTTTTCTGTGCAGGAGGGTATTTGACAGATAGGCAGTCTTTCTTTCTTGTTCCGTTTTCTCAAAAATGACCAAATAAGATTTAGTTTCCTTTTCTTCTTTGAGCAAACCTTAGATTTCAAACCTCTAAATTTGCTGTGCAGTGGATCTGCCCTGCTCCACAGGGATCTTGTGCTGGACTTTGCACTTCTAGCAGACGAATGTCAGACTGGCCCTGTAAAGGCAAACAGGTCTGAGAGCTGGTCAGAGCCAGTGCCGTGGCATTGGCTCACAACAACATCCCTCCTTCTTACCTGTCCTTTAGATGAAGAACAGGACCACTGCAAACAGTTATTTCCAATCTATGCAATAAAACATAATATAGTCTTGATAGGAATTTAGCCTGTAATTACTTACCCTTGTAATGACTTATTAGTTTTTCTCCCTGTTTATCTTCTACCCTTCCTTCTTCCTTAGGCTTCACTTATCTTTTCCTTTCTCAGTCTCTGCCAAAACATAAGCAATGAAAATGATTAGCATAGCTTTTACATGACTATTTCATGAAGTTAATGACCCAGAGGACTGATGGAACAGTGTTGGTCATGTTTCCAAGAGATAATTTCAGACTATTTGTAGACTCCAGAAGATAATATTATACCAACTGACATTTAGTTCATTTTTTTCTCTAGTTATTTTTGCAATTCTGAGGCCAGAAGCTCATACTCCTTCTTTTTCCTTGTGACTGCTTAGAGCTAGGGAAGTTCAGTTATTCCACAGAGATCACGTCATTAGACTTCATGGTTGGATGTTTGCTGCCAGTTTAGGAGGTTTGCAGCCCATTCAAAAGGGAAACAGCAGTCTGGGCTTCTTGGAGTAGGTGCTTTGGGTCTGCAGAAGACCACCTGGATCTCCAAAGTAAATTAAGAAACTTGTGCCTTAAACATACTGTGAACTCTTCGAGAAGCTTGTCCCAATCAGTGGAAATGTTTTTTACCTTCCTGACATCTCCTTTAAATGATTGCATTGATATTTTTACTATGGATTTAACTATTTCCTTGGTATGGCCTGCACTCTGCTCATGCCCATCAGCTCTAGCACCCTACACTATGGTGAACAGCAAATATGCACAAATTAATTTCTCCAAACATAGGCAGAGGGGCTACTACAGATCAGGAAGCAACCTTCTGGATTAAGCAAGTTGTCTGAGGGTTTAAAGGCTGTGGTATGGTGGCAGATCTTGGTCTTGGCTCTTAGGGCCATCCTGCAAAGACCTGGCAGAAAAAAAAAAATCCTGGCTTGGAATGCCTGGAAAGCTGCACTGCAAAATGACTGGTGGTATCAATCTCCAGGATATCAGGAAGGGACAGCTATCCCAGCACATCATGTCTTTGTTGTATCTTTGCCTATTTCCTCTTTTCTTGTCTATCAAATAAAAAGCTACAATTAAAGCTGTAAGAGGTGCATTTAGGACCTAGCCAGTCATGCAGAGAAAGATAGGTTTTCTCTTGGGTTCACTAGGTGCCCTGGTGAAGCTGTTGGGAGCAGCTGAGCTGATACTCCTCCACTTTTCTCACTGGGAATCTGTCCTTGACAAAACCCCCTCATCCTCTTATTCCTTAAAAGCCAGCTGTTCCACATACACTGACCATGTACATTCATTTCTACCTGCACGCTTTGCTCTGCCTCCCTTCTGAGGCTGTGCAGGCACAACCTCCTTCTCTGGTGTAGGAAAAGACTACCTGTTTGGCTTAACTGGCCACTGGGAATTTCCTAGGCTGACAAACCCACAAAGAACTGAAGTGTCACTTCAACTGATATTTAACAGCTCTGGATTAACAGTCCCTCCTTGCTGTGTCCATCCTCAGGCCCTTCTGTGGTACATAGCAACACTTCCAGGAAAAGGCCAAAAAGTGATCATTGGAGATTTCAGATAATTTCTTTAGGAAGAAAATAAACAAAACCAACAACCTAACCCTCTAAAAAAAACCCAACCAAGCCATAAGAAAAACCCCAGCTGATTTGGAAGATATATTTCCATGTGCACAGCACAGAATTTACTGCATGGACCTCCTTGACTCTGCCTGGGCCCTTGCAGCCTTTGAGAGCTGGTGGAGCTCAGGGACGTGCACCTGCACTGCCTGGCCAGCTCCCACCCTCACCAGGGAGCAGCAGAGGAGCTGTGGGCAATGGGGGAGCTTGGGCTCAAGGGCTGAAGCAGCTTTATGTTCAAGGAATTGAGACTTTCACTGAGCTACTTACCAAAAGGTTCCTCTTTCAGTAGCGGCAGCATGGGCCAGCCCCAGGACAAGGAGCCCAAGGCACACCTTCATCAAGAGATGTCTGAAGAATCTAATGATTTTTCACTGTGTTGAAGCCCTTGTAAGAATCTTCAATTAATCTTACTTCAGCTAATGGATTCAGTAGCTGTGTAAATAATAACCTTTTTTATCTACTGCTGAACAAAGACAACGAATGCCTGGAGCGTGAGCTCTGTGGTAACAGTGGACTGTCCTTGTGGCACCTGCGGTGAGCAGAAGGTTTTACAACCTTGTCTCATTGACTGTGAATTATCTCTGAACCAAACCATCAATTTGTCTTTCTGCTTCTCCAGACCACATCCCTGGCCTGAGAAAGCCAGGCTTTGAACCAGAGATTTCTCTTTTAATTGGAGAAGCAAGAGCTGGAATTTGGAGAATATCTGTGGTTTACAGTAATAGTTAAGGACTACCATGTCTTGTCTTAGTCCTTGGTGAATTGGGTCAGAAAAGCACATGGTTGGGGTTGACCAGGGAGCCTCACTTGGACAGCAGCAACTGTATTTCCTTTGGGTCAGGAAAGACACAGGGCCTTGGAGCACCACAACTGTGTATTTCTATTAGCTCTGCCCTGAAAAGCACGTGTTGCACACCGGGACTGCAGCATGCTGGATGCTGTACAGCCCAGCCCCCCTACTGTGGCTTTCCTAAAACAAGAGTGGAAATTCAATCCTCTTAATTGGCCTAAACCTTTACTGAGTCAAAACCAACCGATTTCGACATAGGTGGATGGGCCACCTTTACTTAACCCGGAAAAGAAACATATATTTATATGTGTTTGATAAATGGCACAATAGGCCACAACGAGCAGAGAGATACAAGCCAGTGCTCACAACCAGCAGGGGGATGGGGGGTGCGTGGAGTCTGCCAAGGCGAACGCCCTCAAAGGGAGATAAAAGTGCAGCACCATGACGAGCGGGCACGGGTGGGGGGGTCCAGTGCTTGGCAGCCTCAGGTCAAGCCTGAGCGACACTAAGAAGGAAGGGGGGGGGCCACAAAGTGCTTTTATGTGTGCACATGCACAAAATCAGCCTGCTTATATATAATGAGAAAAAAGAGAGAATTCTGCTGGAGAGATTCAATGGAAGGAAATGTGGTCAAAGAACTCAGGAGAGGGACAGAAGGAGCCAGGGCTGATGGTTGAGGGAGGAAGTCTTCTCCACTGAAGTCCCTGTCCTGTGTAACACATGGCAGATGCCATTGTGGGCTTACCTCTCCCTGTACTCTGGAGGTGGCTGCAAGGTCCATGACTGTGTGCAGCACAGATGTTCTTGTTCTCGCTGTGTGTGCCTCTCTATAGAAGTAGAAGGTACCTGCTGATTTCCTTCTTCGGGATTCTCCCCCAGGCCATGTTTGAACTGGTCACTTCCGAAGCCTCATATTACAAGAGTCTGAATCTGCTGGTGTCTCACTTCATGGAGAATGAACGTCTGAAAAAGATCTTACACCAGTCTGAGGCACACATCCTCTTCTCCAATGTCCTGGATGTCATGGCTGTTAGTGAGCGGTAAGACAACTGCTGCTGGATTTTTGTCCAGCTGAATGCATGGCTTTAGCTAACCTTGTTTGTAGAGGGATGGAGGAGGTGACATGGGGCACTCCGTTACCCACTGTCCTTGCAAAAAGCCTGTGGGCACATACGTTGCTTTGAAGCCCAAGGGCTTCTTCTGTGAGCTACCTGGGACAGACAGGTCACATTTAATATGAGTGTTGGGTTTCTCACCTAGCTTCCTCTTGGACCTTGAGCAGCGGGTGGAGGAGAATATTGTGATCTCGGATGTGTGTGATATCGTCTACCAGCATACGGTTAATCACTTCTCTGTGTACATCACCTATGTCTCCAACCAGACCTACCAGGAGAGAGCTTACAAGCAGCTTCTGTGAGTTCCAGTGCTTGACGCTAAATTATTTTGCAAAATTTTATGGGCCACAGATTTATCTGTAATTTTAATATTTATGGGAAGGAGCTACATAGTACAGAAACAGGATTTCCCACTTCACTGATTTTTCACTGCACCTATAAAAAGAAAACACAATTAAAAGGCTTTATAGTAAGGGTGGGGTGATAAAGTATGCACATAATATACCAAGTAAATTCAGAGCCAGCAGTTCCCAGCTGTGGGAAATATTTATGGTGTACACATTGTGAAATGTATGTATTTTTAAACTGCAAATGGAGGCAAGAGATTGAAAGGCCAAGAATGTAATACAGATCTCTGATGACAAGAACAGCCACTGCTTTTCTCATGCTTCTCAGCAAAGTATTTGACCTAACCGAAGTTCAGAATTAATTTTTTTTTCAGGACAACAAAACTTTCTTAAAAGAAAAAAAAAAACACAACCCACTCTTCACATTCTGGTGTTACATACACAGATGTTACCTACACCTGAGGATATAATGCAAGATTTTTTGCAGTATTTTTCAAGTTTAGCAAGTCTTTTGGTCTGGTAGGAATTCTGTTACGTCAGCTCAAAACAGGGAGTGCCCTACAAGCTTGTCTTTGAGCAGGAGAATTAATTTTTCTTTAGTTACAGTGTCCTGGATTTTTTCAGGACAGCCCATTGCACATGCTGCACTGTATTTCCTCCCAATAGCAGCAGCTGCTTCAGGGGAGTGTAACGAGCCCTAATCCTTTCCTTTCTCTATAGCTTTGAGACAAAAAAAAAACACTTTAAGGGGCCTCTGTTGAGCTTGGCCAACTGTTCTGTCTAAAAGGAGGGTACCGCAGGATTTCCTTCAGTCAGAGGTGAGGAGTATAGCTGCAGAATACAGTTTGCCTAGAGCCCATTAGCTAAACACTCAGAAGTGACACAGCAACAGGCTGGATTACCTGAGCTTGAAAAGGATCTGTTGGAGATACAGGTATTCCTAGACAGGAATTTAGAGGGCAGCATTTTTTTTGCCTATGGGAGAACATAACGCAAATTGAAAAGAATAGGCTCCCTTCCACAGGCTCCTAGCTAGCACAAGAATTTTGCAGTACTCATCTGAACTCAAAGCCTGAGGTGTGTCACGGTTCCCCTCATCTGGCTGTTCCTCAGATGCACGCAGGTCCATCCTGCTGTGGCTCTGGTGAGTCACTCTGTCACAAAAGTACCTGCTGCAGCAGGGAGAAACACTTGCAGTGGCTTCTTTTGGATGCTGCAAGTCATACACAGTAAGGACAGGTTTTGCACCGTTAGCAATCTCTTCGCATCCATGCTGTTTCACCTAGCCAGGACACCAGCAGCGTAAGTCCTCCTCAGGGCCCCGCAGTTGCCAGGAAGCATTGTGTTTATGGCAGCCGGGGCTTGGGAGGCTGCTCTGACAGCTGCGTCCTTGGCCTGGCAATGCCCTCGTGCTGTAAATGCTGTCAGGGAAAGCCCAGGCATGGCCTGGGCCCTTCTGAGGCCAGATAATCATTTCCATCCTCCAGCTAAGCAGCCAGGAGTAGCCAAGCTTGAGCTGTTTTGTGGCTTGTCTTGTTCTTACGACTGAGAATTTCACCTTGTCACAGAGTTCCAACTGTGTAAAAATATATAATTATGCCTCTGACTCATCTACTTGGACACACACCCCATTCACGCGCACCTACGCACACAGTGTATGCTGCTGAGCTAGATGTGCTAACACATGTGAACACTACCATGGCTTGTACATTAAAAGTCTATTTTTTCCCTCCCCCAACTCTATAAATAGTTCTAGATTTAAGCTAAAATACACCTAGAAACATTCAGTCTCCTCCTCCCCTCTTCCCTCTTCTTGAGAGAGGCCAGGCAGATGCTGTCTCTAGGATCAAGCTGCTTTTCGGTCACCAGCCGTATACCAGAGTCTCAGGCAGGGTAACACTCAAAGCCCTCGCCGCCTTTCTCTCTCCTCTCAGCCAGGACAAGCCAGCTTTCCGGGAAGTGATCTCACAGCTGGAGCTGGATCCCAAGTGCAAAGGCCTGTCCTTTTCTTCCTTCCTGATTCTGCCATTTCAAAGGATCACTCGGCTCAAGCTGCTGGTGCAGGTAGAGTTCTGCTCTTTGTTCTGGATCACTCCTGGAATGTTCCTTTGCAGCAGTTGTGACTGAGGCTTAGATACAGCCACAATCAGCCCTAGAGCTGGATGGAGCCTTTCCACAGAGTTAGACATACTCAACAACCATGGAAAAAAGATTTTGGTCACTCAGAGACCATCCCCAAATTAGTCTTGAATTTGTCAGATAGCTTTCACTGAGCAAAAGAGCTGAGGAGGAACTTTGTTGAGCTGCTAGAAGGGGTAGCAACAGTCCATTAACCCAGCTGCCTGCTGGTTAGAGTGCTGACACACGAATGCACAGGGCAGAACAGCTGCGGGACATGGAAATCCTCCATGTATAAAACCCTGCATCACAGTGACTGGGACCAGGCTGTCAGCCATCTTCCTCCTGCGCTTTGCCAGCTTGTCTGAACGCTGCCGGAGGACATGTTTGTAGGGCTGAGGGAACAGCTCGGTCCCAAACGGTCTTATCCCACTGGGATTACCAGTAACACTGGCTGTTAGTGCCAGCTCTGGCTATTTTTATTTATTCATTTATTGTTAGAAAATAGGAGCCTGCCTACTGTATTTCTTTTAGATATAAGGTCAGATGGGAACAGGTTTTAATGAGAAAGAGGAACTAAGAGGTGAGAGTCGCTCTACTCTGTCACCTATCCTGTAATTAGGCTGATAGCCAGAAATAACTCGGCAGCTAGCAAAGACTTTTCTGTGCTGTCACATGGGGGGATCAGAGTTAACACAGCCTTTTCTCCCCTGCAGAACATTTTGAAGAAAGTGGAAGAGAAGTCTGACAGGGAAACCACTGCCCTGGATGCACACAAAGAACTGGAAACAGTAAGTTTGAACAAGCTAATTGAAGGCCATTACATTAAAGCACCGTGCTCATTCCCCCCGCTCCCCCCCAAAAAAAAACCCCAAACAAAACAACACAACACCCTACAAACTACATTCACTCCTGGAGCTGTTCCTTTGAATTCTGTCACTGTGTTTCAAGAATAATTCTTTTTTTCTTAAGTCTTCCTTGCTCCCAAAGATGGACTAATCTAGCAGCGCTGAGATGTCAGTGAGGAGGAATCCCTCGCTAACAACAGATGCATGTGTTTCTGCTGTAGGAAAGGGCAGAGAGAATGTTTTTCCTTGGGGTCTTCAAGAATACAAATTGTTTTTGCAGACATCTGAAGGTGATGGATCCTCCTGAGAGATGTAATTAGCTGCAACAGGCAGTGGAGTACAAGTGTATCAGGTTTCCTCCAACACAGCACGCTTCTTCCTCTGACTTAGAATAACAGTTTCTTAATGAAGTACTCAAGCCTGCTTTTAGCCCTCTTCCCTGAAGCTGGTAGCTAGGTGTTGGTGTTCAGTTGTTCTAGTTACTGCTATGTACAAAATACCTGGAAGACATTGGGATGTTTTCCATCGGGGTTGTTCCTGGCACAGTCAGACAGGGTGATCCCACCTCTGGGCTACATCTCTGAATGGTCTGGATGTACCTGGCAGCTACGTGAGCTAGAACAGAGTGTTTGAACCCTTCTCCATCAGAAGCTTGGAACAGCTCTTGAATCCTGCAGTTCAGCATAAGTATGTGAAGTTGAAAACCATGCTAGACTGTCAGCCTGAGGATACGGTTGCAGCTTCTGACTGAAATGCTAGAACAAAATGGGCTCTCGGGTTTCCTCTGGACTATTCTAGGAAGTGTACACTTTGGAGATCGCTAGGGATAGACAGAGACCTTAGCAATGAAGAAAGTTCCTCATTAGTGTTTGCAGAATCCCTCATGATGTATCTGGTAGCCAATTGTTTTTCCATTGGTCAAAAGCCTGAGGAAGGCTGTTCCTGTCATATGCAGATGACTAGAACTGCTGATGGAAAAAGGTTCTTTTTATATTCAGCCGTCAGTGACTCACATGATCAATTTCATAACTCCTTTGCATGGTTGCTTCTCTGTAAGTGTCCAAGTTTGGATGCCTGATGTCCAGCTAGGTACAGGCAGAACAGAGATCATCTGGTGCTTATTCTCTCTGTAGGTATCCCATCTGAGAGGTGAGAGCTGGTCACAGTTTCAGTTGCTGATATTCTGGTGGATTTTGAGTAGCAGAAACAGAGCACAAAGTGGAGCTTGTTCTCCAGTGTAATTTTTCTACCCAGCCAGTTCTCAAGAGAGTTGCTCCTTATGAAACAGGCAGTGGCATCTAGGTTAAGGTCCCCGTAATAGGGTAGTGCCTGCATGTTGGTTGTGGTATGTCAGTTAAAAGTTTGTACTCAGAACACAGCTGGGCTCTGTACGATGAACATCTCTCCCTGGGACGTTTCATAGCCTTGGCATGTGGTGCTGCTTGGCAGAACCACAGCATTTGCATCTTTGAAATGAAGATCTTTGGCTTCATTCTCTTCTTGAAGATGATACTGTGTGTGTACCTCATTTCAAGTGTTGGGGACAAGCAAAATGAGATACATGGTGTGTCAAGATCTGGAAAATGAGCTGTTCCCTTTGCTGTGCCATCAGGAGTATTCTTAATACTGTCTGGTTCAGTAACTGAATGCAGCCATCTAACATGTCCTCTGATAGTCAGCTTCCAGCTATAACATCTTCTGGGTGTTTGGGGGTTTTCTGATGGTGGTGTGGTTTGGTTTGGTTTCCCCTTCTCTTTTTCATGCAAATACAGTGCTGATAGAAGAGCGTGGCTTGGTCAGTCCCTGTTACAGCAGGGTACTTACCTGGTCATGGTCAGGCCTTTCTGTGCTGTTTATCATCACTTACCTGCTTTAAGGCCAGGCTTAAGATCTGTTTAAGTGGAGCCAAATCTTTCTGCTCTCTTTTTCACAGGTGGTGAAAGCATGTAATGAAGGTGTCAGGAAGATGAGTCGAACGGAGCAGATGATCAGCATCCAGAAGAAATTGGAATTCAAGATCAAGGTATAAGTATAGGCTGGTGACCCTTAGCAGACAGCGAACCAACAGCATCCAGGTGTTGTACACACATATGTGGCAGGAGTAACCTTGCTGAACTCCTTTTAGTGCATGTTCAGTGGTGGCCTGGTCCACGCTGTCCCCTCCAAAGCCTTTGAAAGGGCTGCTGCTGATGCAGGCATGGCAGCTGTGCATGTGGTCACCGTGCACACGTGCTGCAGGGCCAGGGGCAGCGCTGAGGCCAGCGTGCTGTGTGGGCACACAGATGTGACACGCTGGCCTCAAACTGCCTCTGCCTAGAGGGGAGCTCCTGCTCCAGCGCTCACTTCTGGCTCTTCCCTCTCACCTCTTCAAAAGGCAGGTCAGCTTTCAGCTGTTATTTTACATTACAAATGATGTTAAAGGAAGATGAAAGCTACAAAGCAAAATACTTTAAAGCTGGAAAATACCAAAATGAAGATTGTCCCACCATTTTAATTCATCCATGTGTTTATGCATTATGTACAGTCTCTAATTACCTGCTAATGATCTATTTTGGCTCCATTCAGGGAAAGACTGAGTCAATATTTAGGGGTGTCTGAGCAGATTTCATTTAATATATGCCATGAAACTCCAGTGCTGAGTATAAAGTTGTCAATTCTTTTCTTGAGCACTATGGACAGGCTTCTCAGATCTATCTGCTTCACAAACTTTAAGGGGCCTATTTAGCTTCTCAGCAACCTTTTTATATACCTGAACAACCAAAGCAAAAAAAATATTAGACTGTTTGTTTGGAAAGCCACACTGGGTGTCGAAGAATTTGATTTTTCCAGAGCAGTATGTCAGGGCTAGACCACAATCCACAGGTCAGCACTAGATTGGGATAGCTGTAAGGCTTTCTCCATCTCTGGTAGAGCTGAGAATGTGATGACAGGGTGGTTCATCTCTGGAGCAGGTCTGCCTTGGGTGCTGGCCCAGGCAGGGCTCCTCTGGTGAAGAGAGTGCAAGAGTGGAAAGAAAGACTGTGCCACCATGCATGTGACAGACACAGGGAGGGAGTGAAGGTCAAAAGAGTTATGCAGGTATTTTCCAGTATTTCAGTCATTTGATTGGAAGCATAGTGTTCTTCTAATGTTAGATGTGCTTTGTTCTGGGCTTCTTGTTTTTAACACAATGTATGGTAAAACTCTAGCAGAAGTGCTGTTGTGGCTGCGTGGACAGTATCTCCTCCTGGCTGGAACAGACCCAGCCAGTGAGAACCCGTTTAGCCTGGGTTTTTTGTAACCAAAAGGCCAAATATACGTTTTTGAAAGTCAGTCTTACCTGACCAGAAGGGCTGAAGTCAGGTGATGAGACATGGGATCTCTCAGAGACAGATCAGGCTGCCTGGTGTTTAAATCCAGAACTGCATAGCCTGGTGTTTAAATCCAGAACTGGGCACTCCAGCATCACCATCCTTGAGTGTTTGTTCATTCACAGGCCACTGCCACGTCCCTGACTGAGCTCTGTTACGCTCTGTGCCAGGCTGTGGTGTGGCTGGCGGAGCACACTGCCCTCTTTGTCCGGCTCTGCTCCAGCCTTTGCGGTGCATGTTGGGGTGATGGGAGCTCACTACCCTTTCTTCTGCATCTCCCATTGCTTTCAGCATCTTGACCAGATAAGGTTTTTGCTGCTCTCCTGATCTTTGCCATCTTTTCCTCACTTGTAGTCTGTGCCCATCATCTCTCACTCCCGCTGGCTGCTGAAGCAGGGGGAATTGCAGCAAATGAACGGTCCAAAGACATCACGAACGCTTCGCACTAAGAAACTCTTCCGAGAAATCTACTTGTTCCTTTTCAATGACCTACTGGTAATTTGCCGGCAGATTCCTGGGTGAGTGCAAAATTTGAGTATTACATGGTACACATCGTTAGTCCCATTTGCCCCTGGGTTTATCCAAGCTGTGATGCTGTGCCTGTCCCCCAGGCACTGGGAGGGCATCCTGGCCTGACCTGTACACCTCCCCAGCAGTCACTGTGCCTTTGAGCCCAGTTGTCCCTTCATGGGTGGCACAGCTCTCTCCAGCTGAAAATTTGTGGCAAACCGGACTTGAACAGATTCCAGGCCAGGTCCCCTGGCAGGGTAAGTGAGCATGTATCCACCAGTTCCTGCAGAGTGGCAGGGAGCTACATCAACTGGTGGGCTGACCCAGGAGGCCTGTCTTTCTGTCAAGAAGTGATTTTTGACTCATCACTCCCTGAAGAACAGCTCAGACTTAGTCACTTAAACTCCTAAGAAAGCAGGCTAGAAAATTTGAGCAGCAGGGAGGGGTATAAATTTAAGCCCAAGGCTAGCCATTATGTTTGACATGGTGTAACCTGCCTCAGGAGGACAATGTTATCATGCTTAGGACTACGTCTTGTGCAACTAGACACTAGTGAAATTCAGCAGCACGAACAGACGGATCCCAGAGAACAGCTCGTTCTTTGTAGCATTAACTAGACTCACCCATAGAGAGCATCTTGCTAGTCCAACGTTTTTAATAAACGTGTCGCCGCAGTGTCTGTATGCCTGGAAATATTTTGCTTCCGTGGCAGCTTGTATCCAGAAAACACAGAGGCGTTTTACAAATGGGAATGAATTAAGCCTCACAGTCCCCTTTGAAGGAGCACTGGCTGTGTTTTGTACACGGAGAGCTCAGACAGAGCAAGCAACTTGTCTGTCCTAGGCCATGTGGGATGCCTAAGGCAGAAAAAGGAGAGGGTCTCTTGCTCTGCAGTGGGTTTTCATAACCACTCACTCATCCCTTCCCATAGCAGGACTTTTTTTGTACTCCTGCCATGCAAGAGTTCCTGGTCTGTGTCCCCAGTAGAGTTCTGGGTGTCTCCTGAGATAACTGCAGTTTTTCCTAATCCTGTAACCTCTTCCAGGGACAAGTACCAAGTGTTTGACTCAGCTCCCCGGGGGCTTCTTCGGGTAGAGGAGTTAGAAGACCAGGGGCAGAGTTTGGCCAACGTCTTCATCTTGAGGCTGCTGGAGAATGCAGATGACCGGGAGGCCAGCTACATGCTGAAGGCATCATCCCAGTGAGTACAACCGTCACCCCGCCAGCGCTGGGCGCTGCTCCCTCCCTACGCCCCGCCTGCACAGGTCTGCCTCGCCGGGCTTGCTGGGCTCAGGCAGGCAGAGGGCCCACTGCTGCAGTGTGCTGGCCCCACGAACCTCTCTGCCCAGCATCGCTCTCCTGAGGCTGCCTTTGTCCTCTCCTGCGGAAAGGCACTAGGGAACTACACAGGTTTCTCTTCTGTACAGTGTATTTGTAGTATCCGGGGTGGAAGATGGATGGGCACTTTGCTTTCTGGGACAGAGAGGGCAGAAGTCAGCCCTGGCACAGGAGTCTAAACTGATTTACAGCCCACAGCATATTCAAGACAGTAAAACCAATTAGGACGTGCGCTGTGCGCACTCCAGCGGCTCAGCTGGCTCCCTCGCAAAGATCAAGGCCGTGCCTGACCAGCCCTGTGAAGTGAAGTGGCTCCTGCTTGTAGGCGAAGGTGGAGAAGAGGCCTCTTCCTTGGCGCCTTCCACAGCCAGTGCCGATCTTGTGCAGCCCTTCTGCTGCTCAGGGCCTCCTTGTCTCCCTGGATACAGGGTTTTTTTGGCTCACTGATTTTGCACTTCAGGCTCCAGCAAGCTCAGACTGGGCAAATGATTCAGCTGCGCCAACACAGACCTGATTGTTTTGGAGCTCAGGGCATGGCTTTCTCATTAACCCAGGCCTTACCAGGCCTGCGTTTTCTAGGCAGAGTGTCTGTGCTACTGTAGGTGTATGTGTGCCCCCAACTGAACAGCTCTAGAGGTGATGTGCACCTCCAGGTTGATGTTACCTTGCTGTCATGTCAGTAAGCCAGCGCTCCACACCCACATCCCTTAATGGACCCCAGCCCCAGCTGGGACCCCAGGGCTGCACCGTGACCCCCCAGCACAGTGCAGCACCCACATCAGGAAGACGAGCCCCCAGCACAGCGAGCAACTGCGCCTTCTCCCCAGGCACGTGACTGCAGCTTTGCTGTACTGAAAATAGAGATGTCACTCATGTTATGCAGGGCAAACGCACGTTTGACGTCTATGAGACTGAGCTGTGCAGAGAACGATAAACCAGGCCAGGGTTTGCTTCAGCTCAGGGGAGGCAATTGTGGTTTTGTGCTTCTGCATCCTGTCCCATCTTCTAGATGGCCACAGCAAGTAAGTGATCTGGCACACGGCTTGCCAACAGGTATCGTGTGCTGAAATGTGATGTAGCAACTGCTAAAGGCTGCTGTTCCAGAGCTGCAGGGACGGTCGGGGCAGTACTGGGCACAAAGTGGAAAACTGAAGAATTAGAAGAGATAAGTGGGTGCCAAACGGAGACCGCTGCATCTGTTGCACAGCTCTTGCATCATTGCCCAGCTCTGAACCCATATGGCGATGACCACCGGCTTGGTGGCAGCTTGCAGCTAGTGCACTGGGTGGGCTCTGCCAGGAGATGGCCGTACATTTGGACACAGCTGGCTGCAGTGGCAGGACCCTGAGAGGAGCTGGGGGCTGCGGGTGGGACCCAGAGAGCCCTGCAAGGAGCTGTGCGCAAGGCCAGCCTGCAGGTAGGGCCACAAGCACAGCAAGACCCTTGGTTTGATCTCTGTGTGCCAGCCCCTCAGTGCATATCTTCATGGCGTGAGGGGCCACACTCGACCTGCAGCTGCAGGTGTGTTCACTGCTCCTTGGCATCGCGCTTCAGCCCTGACGCACAAGAACAATTCCCAGCCCCGCAGATCAACCTGCTTGTCCTCCCTGTCTCCCTTTTAGGCCTCTCTCCTCCCAGAAGACACTCCGGTGGCTTTAGATGAGTGTCAAGTTCAGGCTTTCTTTACCATCTGAGAAGGTAGAGAGTTGTGGCTCCCTCGGGGCCAGGAGCACAGCTGGTCCTCCAGGCAGGACCTGGGGCCTGTGCAGATGAACAGCCCCATTTCCCGGTGGGGCTGAGGGAAGCCTCAGGGGAGCACCAAGCCTGTGGCTTCTCCAGAAGCTAGGAAATCTTCACCCTCCTGCTGCAGGCCCAGGTTTTGCATAACAGCGTGCTGAATCTGGTGATGTGTTCACACAGGTCTCTCATCTGCTGCCAGGCGAGCCATACCGCCAGCGTGCTGCAGCGTTCGCCTGCAAGTGAATTAATCAGCTCTGCCCTTTAAATGTTCCTGCACAGCAGCTGCGAGAATAAATGGTTCTTCTAACTGCTTTTCTGTAGGAAAAACTGCTCCTATTGACCCAGCTCAGCCAGGAGCTGCCTTTGCTGGTTAGAGCTGAGAGGATGCCGGGCCCCCCACCCTGTTGCTGGCTCTCTGAAGCTGTGGTGCTCCCCAGAGGGGGATCCTGCTGCCTGTAGGGACAGCCAGCCTGTGGCCCTGCAGCAAGTTAGGCCTGTGCGGCAGGGCGCAGGCACTGTGGCACGTGTGACATCCCAGCTGGTGTGTGTAAGAGCGGGGCTCAGCATCACCAGTGAGTCCAGGACCCCAGGGGGGCAGGCAGGAAAGGGCCATGAGAGCAGGGATTAGGAGCCCAGGGCTGGCTGGACAGGAGAGCTGGGCTCACTACAACTGTCTCATGCTCACAGCCTCGGTTTGTCTCCCCTATCCAGGAGTGAAATGAAGCGCTGGATGATTTCACTAGCCCCGAACCGGAGAACCAAGTTTGTTTCATTTACATCCAGACTTGTTGGTAAGAGACATAGCACGGGAGCCCGGAGCTCTTCACCCCTACCCCAGGGCACCTTATTCTGCCCTAATCTCAGTCCAGCCCCAGGCCTGGGGGCTTTGCTGAAGCTGAACCCTCTCCCTGGGCTCTGTATTTCCACCACTGATAACCCACATGTCTCTCGGCCTGGCCCTGACCTTCCTCTCCTCCAACCTGGGCTGAGCTGCTGCTGTGCTCTCCCTCCCACCCAGGCACTGTGGGGGGCACTGTGGTGGCCGATGTGCACCTGGCTGCCTTCCCCACTGCTGCCTTCCCCACTGCTCCCCTTGGCCTCTGTGGGGTTTCTTACCAGACCAGAGGGACCATTCACAGAGCTCCTGGTGCTACAGCTGCCCAAGCCGTGCTGTCCTGTGGCATCTGTCCCAGTCCATCCCTCACTCTCTCCCTGTTCCCTGGCAGACTGCCCGCAGATCCAGTGCGTCCACCCGTACGTGGCCCAGCAGCCAGACGAGCTGTCCCTGGAACTGGCTGACGTCCTCAACATCCTGGACAAGACAGACGATGGTACGGGTAGGGGGGAGCTGAGCCAGGAGTTCCTGGGGGGAGGGTGGACTTTGCTCTGGGCAGGTGGCTGCCCGGCCCCTCTGCCCAGGGAGAGACCCCAGCACTGGCATTGCAGCCGAGGGAGCTCACAGCAGGAGGAGAGTTACTGCTGCCTCCTCATCCTCAGCAAATCCAAGCTGCCCAGAGCTGCAGCAGTGCTGGCACAGCCACCCTGGCACCAGCTGTGGGCCACGGCGGGGCTGGCACAGCCATGCCAGATGTAACCCAGGGCTGTTCTTACCTTGGTGATGCTTCGCAGCCACCTGGTCCTGGTCCCTGGGGCACACTTGTAGCTGGTGGACTCGGTCACATTGGGTCTCTGTTGGGGACTCTTCCTGTGGCATCAGGAGCAGCAGAGCACTCTCGGTGGCAGCAGTGCCTGCTTTCTGCTGGCATCCCTTGAGCCAGGCGTCCAAACGCAGTGCTGCTCAGGCCAGTGGGCCTCCTTGGCCAGATTTACAAACTGGGTCTGCTCCAGCACAGGCCTCTGAGCAGCTCCCGGAGGCACTGCCAGCTCCATAGGCCCCTTCCAGCGCAACTGTCCCGGCACAGGAGCAAGGGCCAGTCCTTCCCCATTTATGCCTGTCTCTGTCTCTGCTCAGGCTGGATATTTGGGGAGCGTCTTCATGACCAGGAGAGGGGCTGGTTCCCCAGTTCTATGGGGGAGGAGATCCTGAACCCCAAAATCCGAGCCCAGAACTTGAAGGAGTGTTTCCGGGTGCACAAGTCGGATGATAGTCAGCGGAGGAAACTGGGCAGCAGAAATCGCCAATGACCACTGGTGTCCCCGAGCGCCTGGAGTGCCTCTGAGAGAGGAGCAGAGGATACAGGCTGCAGCGGTGCTGTGGGCCATGCTGCCGGACCTGGTGTGCCTGACCAGGCACATGCACTTCTGAACAGACTGAAGGTCCTGGGCTCCCCGCCATGCTTCCCGCAGCACTGATCCTTTCCTGGAGATCAGTGCTTCGAACTGGCTAAAATAACCCCTTTCCAGGTGTTCTGTAAAGCCCCAAAGAGCACGAGCCAAACAGACACAGCCCAAAAGCCACCAGGTGCCAGCAGCGGACCCCTGTTCCCCACAGACGTGCTAGCTGGGGCCACAAACATCACTAAGCAATTTATGTCATCCAGTTTGAGCACTTACAGCTCATCACAACCTTTCAAGTTTGGGGACCTTCTAAAGCAGCATCTTACAGAGGTAGAAACTGAAGCAGAGGGATTGTCTTGCCACCTCTCATAGAGCCCGTTGGCACCAGGCTGGGACGAGCCCCAGGAACTCCACCTCCTCAGTTCTGCTGTGGCGCCACTGGGCCTGTTCCTGCGGGCAGCCCCTCCATCGGCTTCCAAACGCTCCAAAACGCTCACTAGCCAGCCCTGCTCCACCAGCAGCCCAGCCTCGCCAGCCCTGACCCACGTCTCTGCTTGCCTGATGCCCTCGAAGCACGCTTGGGCCTTGCCCCACGGCTCACCCCCCCCTTCTCCAGCCCGCGCCCCTCCGCAGAGCCGCTGCCGAAGCCCGGGCCTCGCAGCCCGTCCTGGTTGACCCGGCACTTGTGGTCTCCGCTACTCGCTGCTGCCGAGGCACAGGGCAGGGTGGCTGTGCTGGTGTCTCCCCGCACACCACCATGCACCACAGGAGCACCAGCCGGCCCCCCCACACAGCAGGTGACTGATGTTACCCCAGGAGCTGTTGTCCCGCGCGCTGTGGGAGGCTCAGTGATCGCTGCCTGCATGCTTGTAACCCACAGCCCACGCGCACGTGCTCCCTGTACTGGCTCACCACCGTGTATATACGCAAATCCTCGGTCGCCAGCAGCGCCAGATCGTCACTCCTTCCAGCTGTAGCACTGAGCATCGCATGAAGCCCAGGGCACAGCACTGAGACCAGTCAGGGGACAGACCCACGGCACCGCCTGTTGTTTAACAGCTTCGCTCTGAACAGTCCCACATGTGGCTACAGCTGAGGGCCTCTTGGCTACAGGCTAGTCCCACGCTGTGGCCAGTGTCCATCAGGGAAATCAATTATTTGGCATCTTTCTGTAACTGCAAAGGAGAGCCTTGCAGGTGCTGTGGCCCGTGCTGCTGTATGCTCTGGCGGTGCCACGGTTGTGCTTGGAAAGGGGATGGAGAGCAGATGCCTGCCAGCAGAGCCCCACATGCAGGGCAGAGGAGCACAGACACACCGACAGCAGTGGGGGCAGGCAGCAGGACACCAGGGATCTGCTGGAGGGGGGCTCTGGAGCTGGGCTTCGGGTCATCTGGTGCCCAGGTTATGCGCTGGTGTGTGGCCGGACCCCACTGAGGGAGGCCAGGACTGTCCTCGGGGCGGGGGTGGTCTGCAGCCACCCCCAGCAACAAACTGGTGGGAACCACAGCAACAAAGGGGGTTGCCTGCCCAGGCCTAGCTCAGTACCACCATGTTAGCATGTTGCAACAGCCAACAGGGCTGTGCCTGCCCTGGCTACCTGTAGCGCTCCTGAGAGAGGGTCCCTGGGCAGCTCACACCAGCCAGAGGCTCCCAACCCCTTGCCGCTACCCAGCCCATAGCTGGGGGCCAGGAAGGGACCCCAGCCTCCAGTCTGCTGCTTCAAGTTCATTTTAAGGGGAGAGCCCAAAGTCCGATCTCCCCAGCAGCACAAACCTCCAGCTCAAGGTCCAGACCTTGCAGCAGCCAAAAAGTCTCTATAGTGAAACCCAGATAAGCTCCTGCTCTAGGATGTCCTTAAAATTACCTGAGAAGTCACCACATCCCAGTTTCTGAGCCCAGCGCCAACCCAGCCCAGCCCCTATAGCCCCCACACACACACCTGGGATGTTTCCTGTAGCCCAGAAATGCTCCCTTACCCCTCATGAACAGCTTCCACTAGTGGAGGGGCTGACCCAGGTTGCTGGTTCCTCACTGCATTCTGGGAGGAGAGGGGCCTAGGGCTACCATGCGCTGGACCTCGACACACTGCCAAGCCCTAGGACTCGCTCTGGCCCCTCTCACTCCGGTGTGACTTTTTAGGACTCCAAACCCTAGGCAAAGGCCAGGCTGTTTTCAGGCACCAAGTGGCATCTAGTGTTACTTCCTCAGACCCAGCCCTGCACGCCTCCGTTTCAGTGGTCTCCAGTGTTGTACAGGGCCAGGACTGGGGCTCACAAGCACGAGCTGGAGCCCCCCCAGCCCCCACCGGGCTGCCTCGGCAAACTGAGGGGAACTTCTCGTTGTCTCGTTTTTCTGTGTGATGAAATATAGCTGAGCGAGCCAGCGCCAAAGCCCCACACGTGCGTCGTCTTCTTCCCCCAACTCAGACCGCTCGCCGCCTCCCCCATCCCCTCCTGTGCAAATGGCCCAAAGGCAGAGGGTGGAAGCGGAGTCAAAGATCAATGCGGGCTGGGGTGAGAGCAGAAAAGTAGGGGGGTGCTGTACACCAGGGGAAGAACCCTCCCTAAGGAGAGCTGTACAGGGTAATGCCCAACAACCATTACTGCCACCCAGCCTACACCCAGAGAGCAGCTGCCAGTGCGAAGGCCCTCCCAACTCGGGGGGACACTGGCTGCTGCAGACAAGCCTCCTGGGTCTCAGCCCCTCCAGCAGATCCACCCACCAAGAGCAAAGAGCACTTTGGGGCACAGCTTTGGTGTCCAGCGCAGAGGCTGGAGTGCCCTTTGCCAGCTTTGCCCCCTGGGGCATGAGCAGGAGCAGTTGAGGGCAAGAAACAGCCTGGTTGTGTTACTGAAAAATCTTTTATTGAGTTCAGGAGGCCGAGAACTTTCTCAGCGTGATGACAACCAAGGCCACAAGCACAGATGTACCCAGGAGGGAGGCGATGACGATGGCTCCAATAGCTCCGGGCCCCAGCGAGCCTGCAGGGACAGACAACAAGGTGGCAATAGGTCAGCAGAGGCAGGGGGCCCAAGCAGGAAGGGCTCTGGGGGTCACCCCCACGCCCAGCATGTCCTCAGCCATCAGACCAAGCACCTGGCCCAGAGCTGCTCACAGTGGTCACGGTGGCCCTGTTTCCACAGCCCCACACAGCCCAGGTGTGATCCTGCACCCTAGCAGCATCAAGCCGTTGGGCAGGGGCTGAGGCCAGCCCCTGCCTCCTCAGGCAGCTCCTGTGACAAGGACAGCTGCCACAAAGCAGGTCTTCAGCACTCAGCTTTACCAGAGTTGCTTGGCCTGTTGCAGAACTGCTTCACAACAGGCGTTCACTGTAGTTCAGGAGCCAGGAAAGGTATTCACACTCCCTGAAGAGCCCTGCCTGTGCCCAGGGCACTTTCCGCAGGTTCCTGCTGTGGTCAGGTCAGACCCAGGACAGGAAAAAAAGTCCCTGGCAGCTGCACCGGGGGTGGCACACACACAGCAGCAGAAGCTTTTGGGCAGGGCAATCTCCCTGAATAGGCATACAGGTGCTCTCCCCCACCAGCAGCGTGGTTGGGGACAGGCCTCCACCTCATGGGAGGTGACAGGCCCACAGCGAGGATGTCCCAAGGTGGTGGGGGACCGACCCACAGGCAGCCCGTCACGTACCATCCCCGGCGTCCAGGCGGTGCAGGTGGGTGGTGTCCTCGGGCTCCAGCTCGGACGTGTACAGGGGGAAGGTGGTGGCGTCCGAGAGCCGGGCTGTGGTGGTGGCAGCATCGAAGGGGCCGGCTCCAGAGGGCAGCTCGGGGGGCTCGTTCCAGAGGGTGGGGACTGGGCCCTGGGGGTACTCTGCTGGGAGACAAGCACCCAAAGTCACTCACAGGCATAGTTGGCCTCAGCCAGGCTGCTGGTGACAGCAGCAGCTCAGGACAGCCACAGCTCAGCACCTGGCAAGTGCCCCGGGGTGGATGGAGGGTGACCCCAGGGCTGAGAAACCCAGCAGGGCAGAGCCCTCCTCTGCAGAACACCATCATCCAGAGCAGCCCAAGGCAATGCCCATGCTCCGGGATGAAACCACGTTGCCACAAGTTTTTGTGGCAGCCTGGTGTACACACAGCACACACAGGACAACAGGGAGCTCCCCACAACCGTGCAACCTCTGCTTGTGCACAAACAAGCCCTGCATGAACATCTGTAGCTGGTTTGGCTCATGGATGCCCGTGGCACTGGGCTGGGAGGGGCTGTCACACTCCTGCAACAGGCAAAGGCCACCTGCGCTGGCCAAATTCACAGCATCTTGGGGCCTCTCTGTCCTGCCCCACCAGCCTATGCAACAGAGGATGCCAGAGGCGCTGGCACTGCGCAGGATGCGGCTCCCCTAGACAGGAGCCCCAGCCCTGCCTCTGCACACCTCTGCACTGTGCCGGGGGGGGATGAACTGGGCCAGGCCCTCTTTGATGTTACCCTTCACCTTCTGTTCTTTCTTCCTGCTGTAGGGTCAGGGGCCAAACCAGAGAGCCCTCCCTGTCTGCGTGTGGCTGAGCCGAGCGCTCCCTGTCAATGCCCGGCTTGTTCGGGTGGGCCCCGGCAGGAGCGGGAGACATTCCACAGCTCCCTGCCGAAACCACTGGGAATGTTGCACTGGAATGGGAAAAAAAAAAAGGGAGGGGAGGAAAAGTAACAGCATCCAGTGCCAGGGCCCACCTGAATGGACACAATGGTTATCGGTGCTGGGAACGAGGGCATCAGAGGGGCCGGAGCAAGCCTGGGCGCTGTGGGGCAAGGCACAGAGGCATACCCCGGCACCCCATGTGTCTCGGTGTACCAGAAGCACTCAGAGGCTTGTCCCAGGCTCTCCCAGGCCCAGCTAGAGAGGCAGCGGCAGCAGCAAGTCTTGGTGGCACCAGCCCCAGCTTGAAGCCCTCCTTGCCTTGCACAGGACAGCGAGCTGAAGGATTGGCGCTAACAGCCTCCAGCACGCTCTGTTCTCCCATAGGAGCCCTACTTTGAAAGAACAGGAGGACCAACACAAAAACGCTCACCTCTGCTGCCTGTGCAAACCCAGTGACAGGACTTAGGCAGGGTTCACAGCAGAGAGTAGCTCCCACCATCCCCAGAGCTATTCAAGGCTGCCCGCAGGCCTGGGAACACAACAGGGTTCCACTCTAGTTTTGGAAGGTCCCTTCCACAGCTATAAAAGCTACAGGATTTTAAGCGAGACAGCTGCCTGGTTTAACACTGGCCCAAGAAGCAATGACAGAGACAAGTAAGCCCTCGGCTTGAGGCTGGTGCCAGCTAAGCTGGACAGCGACACTAGCACCCTCGGGCTGGCTGAACCCCCTGGGGAGGAGCTGAGGGCACCAGCGGATACCACGTCCTCACACTTGGTCCATCTGCGGCCACTGCATTGGAGGTGGCATCCTGGGCGCCTGCTACGGGCACACAAGAGGTTTGTACTCCATGAGGGCACCCCAGAAACACCTGAGTCCCTTGCAGGGCCCTTCCCAACCTGTCCTGCAAAACAAGCCAGCAGAGCTGGAGACTCCCAGCCCATCCAGAGGCTCTTCCAGGAAATGCCATTTCCAGGGGACCTCTCTTCCCTAAATCCTGTGGTTTAGTTACCAGAGGACAGATCAGGAGGAAATATACAGTTTAGTGGGTAAATGTAGTTAAAACAACAGGGAAAAGGAACCAAACAGAGCTGGGGCTACTTAGTTAGCAAGGGTGGCATGGGGAAGCTATTGGTTTAGGCACCGACCAAGCATTCGTAACACTTTCAAACTCCAGGCTGTTTTTGCAAGGGGAGAAACTTCGCACAGAAGAGCTACACTCCAGCTACGACCTTCCTGACTGTGTCAACACCACCGGGACCAGCACCGACACTGCAGCCATTCCCATCTGGCAAGGGAACACCGTGCTGAGAGGACATCGTTGTTGCATTTCCCAAGAATGTTCCTCTCTCTAAGGCCAGAAGAGCTGGGTGTACCCCCCTGCATCTGACCGGGAAAAAGGCCTTAGCCCAGATGATCTGCAACAGATGCAGGCACTGTTCAGGGGGGCTGCAGGACCTGGACAGGGTCTTCCCCACTCTGTTCTCAGAGACAAGGCAGTAGCACTACCCCTTCCGACTGTAGCGCAGAGGCTCTTTTTCTAGCCATGCCCACAGGTCCCAGAAAGTCTCTCCTGTCCCTGGTGCCTCTAATTCCTGAAAAATTTACTGCCACTTTCTTTAAGTGGGGGACAGAGCTTATTTTCAATAGCCAAGTAAAAACGAAATGGTCTGATTTGTTTATCATCTCAGTGATTTTTAAGACCTGGATAGAGTCCTGGAGGGCCTCTGGATATATATTTTGTTAAATCCCCTCATCTGATTAAAACATGCTCTCAGCTCACCCTCACAGAAAGGGCAGAGTGTGCTACACATGCATTTTCTGTCCCGAGTTCTTGCGGTTTTACCTAAACGGCGCTTCAACCAAGGGAAACACAACTCCTTTCAGTCAGGTCTAGTGCCTCACTAACAGGAGTTGGCAGCTCAGAAGCAGCAGCAGAGCTGTGCACACGTATAAAGTGGAATACCTGCATCTGAACATCACCAAGAGCCAGAGCTCACGGCTGCACCTTCCCTTCGGCTCCTGCCCCTTGATGCTGCTAGAGCAGATGCCAGAAGCCCTGCAGCAGGCACACGGGGTGGGGGAACACAAAACCAAATGCAAGCACTGTCCCCAGCAAAAGCTGCCAGCAGGCAGGTCTCTCTAGAGCAAACTGCTGCAGCCTGGGAGAGTGCCCGTTTGTAACCTGCACTCTTCTTTCCAAGACTTCCCTTTGATTTTCCCTCCTAAACTAACAGCTCGTGCCCTCACATGCCTCCATTCTTGCCCATTCGAGAAGCCCAACCACCCATCCATCTCTTCCCAAGCATCCAGTGGGTTTATTTAACAATCAAGTCCCGTCTGCTCCCCTCTGCAGCTCCCTGACAGTCCCAGTGAGCATTGGCCTTGCTGCCACCGGCTGAGAGCAGATCTCTAATGGAGCAGCACTGAATGCCCCACTCCCATTTCAATCCTCTGGTAAAAGCAAGGAAGGTGAGGGGGAAGGACAGAGCTTGGGTTAAGTGCCAAAAACCACTACACACACACTTAAGGTCTCGCATATCTCCAAGCGAGACCTGAGCACCTCTTCCAGTCACCTACTGGATACACTCTGACTGGACAGGCTCCAAGTACAGGTGTAGGACCTGACTCAAAAGGTTCAGGTCTCTGCTCTGCTGCTGTTTACTGTGAGCACTGTGAGCCCCTCTCCCTCCTGGGCTGTTTTGCTGTGCATGAGCATGAGACCGGGATTCTTAAGTATGATCTACAAGAGGAGTACCAGAGCAGCCAGGCCTGCCCACCCACATGGTCACTGTCACCCTGACTGCAGTCCATGTGCCTGAACAAACACCACCGAGTGACAGCTCCAGACTCCGTGACAGCCTGTCACAGGGAAAGGGCAAGTTATGAGGGACCTCCATGGCCTTGGGGCAGGGCATGGCCTTTGTTACTTGTGCAAAAAATGCCAACACACTGCAGTCTCAAGTGTGTAGGTGCAATTGAGGGTTGGAAAGTAAATATCAAAGGCAAGGTAGCGCATGGTTTTCCTGTTCACCCAAGACCTTCGTAGAAACTACCAAGAAACACTCTCGAAACACATCATCCATCACAAGGCCAGATATCCAATGCCTGGGTGACTGCCATGCATTAGCTGTGCTGGCATCAGCCTTAGGACCAGTCCTATCTCTAGGAAAGCACACCTGGAGCACTGGCGTGGTTTTCCTGCCCCGGAGCAATGCCACAGGAGCAGCAGTAGGCACAGGGAGGGGCCACCGACACACATGGGTCACCCCACCACTGCCAAGGCTTTGTGTCTCAGTGCCAAGTGCTCCAAAGGGAGAGAAACCTTGACTACACAGCACGAACAAGCTCTCCCCCAGAATTAGCCCTGTCTGAGCTCTAGAGCACAGACTGCGGACAAGTGTTGCTCCACAACCAGCAAAACCCACCTGATAAAAAAATAGTTTGAGAACACTTAAGAGGAAGCCATGGAATAGTCTTAAGTTATTAGGGTTTTACTGGGCAGAGATGGAACCTGGAAAAAATGGACTAAAAGTATTCCAGTGTTTTGCAGGTCAGGTGGAGGATGACACCTCTTCCTTCCCATGTGTTGATACTATAAATTTCCTTATTTTAGGAAATTATCCATCCTGCACAGGTCTTCTCTATCTCTCCAGTACAGGTTTGTTACTTTCTTCCCTTTTCCTGGCCTCAACTGTATCAGAGTTACTAAGTGACAAAGAAATACACTGAGATTCCCGAATGATTCAGGAACCCAGCAGGACTTCAGCTACACAGGCTGCAGTGAGCTCTAGGAGGATGATGCCAAAGGCAACTTGATGAAACTGCTATTTCCATGCTCAGTGAAAAGGTGGGGTGAACTACCAGCACAGTGACATGGTAGCCAGTGCCCCAGATACTTGGTGGCTGAAAGATAAGACTGGAAGAGTCTCCACAAGTGATAGCTCTTGAGGAAGCCATCAAAACTGCAGGATCCTTCAAGATACCTCCAAACCACTAGAGCCTCCCACAGGCAGACTGCAAGGCCTCGAGGCAGGCAGATGTGGCCACCTAACACCTTCATCCCCAGAGATGACTCACCAGTGAGCACCACTCTTCCTTGTACAAGCTGGTTTCAGCACCTTATCATCTTCCCTCTCCACCTCCCACCTAGTAACCTCAATTGGGAGCTAATACTAGTGTCAGTCATTGTAAGGAGTGCTGGTGCAGAGCAAGGTTGACTAAAGGTCTATAAGGACTTTCTCTGGATCTGGACAGACCTGTGGAACAACTGCATCTTTTTAAGAAATTTGCCTGATAGAACATTTAGTACTTCTCACATTCTAGTACTTGGAACTTTAAAAGCTTGCTTATAATCTTTTATTCTTCTATTGTTAAGAATGAAGATACAACAGAGTCGCTACAGAAAGATGTCCTTGGACAAGGTCTTCTCCTGTAGTTTCTTCTTTAGCACATGTCCTGCTCTGCTGCTTTTTTCCCCCCCCTATATGAACTCTGACATGCTACTGCAGTACGATATATTTCCATATTAACTCAAAATGAGGAAATTATAAGTCCACAATGGACTTTAGATACTAAATATATACATGATTCAGAAGCCAAGGCCTTGCAAAGGCTTTTTACTAACTTCCATTTCACTTGCAGCTCTGAATCCATTATATGAGTTAAAACTGGTTTTGCTGATAGAAAAGAATGAAAATCAGCTCTCCACAACCCTCCTGTGCTCTAGGCCTACGTGCCACTTGGGTTTGGAGAAAGCAGGAGCGGAGATTTGGGTGTGCAGAAAGTCCTTGAACTGGCTCTGCTTCCTGTTGCACCTAGATGATGTGGACAAAGAGGTTAAAGATTCAGTTGGTTGTTTCCCCATCTTTAACAAATGGGATAAAGAGCTCAGTAACTTGGAGGAGAAATTCACACTTTTCCCCACCGCAGAGCCCTGACCATGCTGTCCAGGAAATCAGACCGGCTAGGCAAGAAGCCAGATCAAGGTACAGAGCCCACCAGCATCCCAAAAGTGTTCTGACTGTCACACCCAGATGGGAACTTCAGTTGCCATTGAGATCCTTCATGTCTGGCTGAACTCCTGAGCACCTACCCAAGGCTTTGGGTACCAGGTAGCTCCAAGTCCCCACTGTCATAAAATTAAATCCAGCGAGGAAGGGAAGACTCATTGTGGACTTTGGGTCTGCATGGCTGTCACCAGCTGCAGCCCCCTCCAAGGCAGAGTCCGTCCCTACCCCTCCCAGAGGGCTTTGCTACGGCAAGTACGAGGTGCTGAGATGGGAGGGCAGGGGCTGAGTGAACTCCGAGGCCAGCAACAGGCTGTCCAGCCCCAGGTAGCCACAGCGGGCACAGGGCCAGGGCAGGGATGAAAAGAGGCCTTCATGGGGAGCACAAAGGGCAGCCTGTGATGGGCGAGCGCCGGGAGCTTGAGCGTGGAGCAGCGTGGAGCGCTGAGGTTCTGATGAATGTTAAATAAACTTGTTTACAGAAAGGCAGGGCTGCATGTGTGTGTACGCGTGGAGGCCAGAGGGCTGTCTGCGTGCCCTTCCCTTTTTTGTCTGCACAAGGCAGGAAATTTCCTTTTCTAATGGGGTGAAAAGCAGAAAAAGTTCCACTGTGCACTAAAAGCCCCTGTGCTGGGGGTAGGTAACTCTCCACTCCTAACGCAGCAGGAAATGGCCCTGCTCCTGGGATGGCTCACCATGCCAGCTGCTCCCCTCATGTCCTGCCCAGAGACAGCGGAGAACAAACTTCTTAGCGGCCTCAAGCCTCTAAACTGCCACAGAGAACACACGGAGTCTCTCCTACACCCCAGGATCCAAATGTTGCTTTCATCAGTACAAAGCTCTTCAAGAGCTACTGGCCTAACGACACAAGCACAACTCACCCACTAAAGGCACCAAGTGAGCTTGGGAGTATTTCACAGGAGCAAAGGGACACAGGGAGGCAGCGACAGGTACAAACTGCAGCTGCAACACTGAGCCAACAGTAACACAGGAAAGCTGGCAAGGGGGCAGGGCAAATATGCAGCAAATACTGGAAACTTAAAATATTATAAAAGAAATTCTAGCTTGGAGAGGAAGCAGATTAAATTTTCACTGGAAATTAATCCATTTCTGCAGTATGAAATACTGTTAACAGTTAAGAAAAGACCTTACCTGGTTTTGGGGAAGAGTACTGCCACTGCTTCTGGGAGCATGAGAAAGCTACAAACCGAAACTGGGTTTAAGCGATTAATGTTCCACCACACAGAAATCAAAGCTCAGGGTTTGAGAAGGAAAATATTCACATTTTAGTGCTCATTTCTTAGTTACTTTAAAGGTTTCCCAGCAAAAAGGTGTCCTACAAGAGGAGGATCTGCATGGGAAATACCAGCTACAATAATTCCGTTCTTGCACCCAGAGATCCAGCTGGGCAAAGTGATAAATTTCCCTACCCATATGAAAGCTCCTTTAAAAAGAAATAATTTCATCTGCTAGACAGCTGGCCAGGATCTCCCTGCTAGGCAAGATACTCCAAACAAAGCGGTGGGGGACCTGTGATCCAGCCTTGCTCCAGGTCTTAGAAGGCAGGACAGGAATCCAGCAAAACAAGTGCTGTGTTCTTGCCCATTATCTTGGACTAAGCCATCCCTTCAGCCTTGCCTCCACTTAAAGGAAGAGGCTTTGAGGGAGGCAGTTGCCCAGAGGAGTGTCCACTTGTACGCCCAGAGCCCATCTATGGGGTCGGTTTGGAAGGCAGCTTCCCCTCGTTTGCAAAACCCACCTCAGACCAGACAGCCTCTGAAGCTGACTGTGCTCTCAGGTCCCCTCAATTGGCACAGTGGTGCTAAAGGCAGGAGCAAGATAAGGCTAAAATTACCAACCATCTACTTAAAAAACAGCACCTCACAGAACAGGTGCCTCACCTATTCCTATTCCCATCCCCTCACTGAACTCCAGTCAGAACCACATACCTCCAGCGCTGCTGCCTGCCATGATGCACCCAGCTCTGGACAAACTCCGTTTAGACACACACCTCGGCTTTTGACCGAGCTGAATGTTTTCACAGGCACTGTCGTGCTTCTGCTTACAGCTGTGACGGGCTCAGCTGCAGCAGAAAGCATAGAAGGAACCGGAAATTGACACACATGCTTCAGCCAGAGAAAAATGTTTCTTTTCATGATCGTTAAATGTCTTGCTGCTATTAAAACTGAGAGATAGCCTCGTCCTGTCAGCTGCTGACAGCACTCCATCTACTGCTGACTGATCTGTCTACTGATCTACAGCCACTCATGCTACTGCTGTTCTACTTGGGAAAAGTTACAAATGACTTTCTTCATTTCCCCCAACAGAAACCTCGTCTCAGGATGGAGACTATATTCTTACCACCAGCCACTGATTCCAAAGCTAGTTTCCATTAATCAATTATAATTCAAGAAACACAGAAGTTTTTAGGGGAAGGAGAAGAGGTATACAAGGAGGAGGAAAGAGAGAGACAGGTTAGTAGAAGATGTCCCATGCCTCTGGACTTTAAATGCAAACAAAGCTCCTTACCTGCCAGCACAGCAGGGACCAGGATGCCACACAGCATTAGCAGGACCAGGCGAAGGACTCTGTGGTAGGGCATGGCTTCCCTCAGGAAAAGTGTTGGCAGGAATTCCTAAAACTCTTCAAAGTATTAAACAACTTGGAAATTTCACTGGTATAATAAAAATTTTGTCCAGTAAAGTCACAATAAAAAAAATTTCCTTCACAACAGCAAGTGGATAGACAGAGTGCAAAGCCGAGCGGAGTCTCACACTCTGACTTCCAGAGCACACCTCCTGCTGAAGACAGCTCCACCCTCTCAAATTTGTACCTAACACCCCATAGGCAGACAAGCTGTTAGGCATCCGTCACCCTGGCAGGCCAGCGCACACACGAACAGTTGTTGGCAAGCCCTTCCCAGAGGACGTGGGGATGCTCCTGGAATGCCTCCCCTCCAGCCAGAGATCCCGCGGCACGGGAAGGAACACAGGAGCCATTGGGGCAGCCAACCCTGAAACCAAGCAGAGCGCTCAAGGGCTTTGCTCCCTCCTCAGTGTGCAGGGCAGCGGTGGCCTTCCCAGGGTGGGCACAGCAAACAACAAGGGCCTCAATCTGCTGAGGCTAAAATGCTCTGATTCAGAGCCAGAGCAGCTCCGTGACATCCTTGTTTTCTGGGTGTAATACTTACAGAGGTGGACTAGAAGCTGCGTGTGGTCTCTGCTGGCAGAAGTGCCTGTTACAATCTGGTAAATCTTCCAGGAGAGTCGTCTTTGCCAGGCAAGGCCAGCATCCTCCTTGGGTCTGAGCTGCACAGACACTACCTCCTCCTGCAACCCTCTGCTTTCTCCCGCCCCTCCCAGTGGGCTCGTGAAAAGTTCACAGCAGAGGAAACTCAGGTTTGCTTCAAGTCACATTTGCACCGATGGAGACTTGGGAACAGAAGTCGTGTATGAAGAGGGGAACGCTCCAGCTTATTGTCAGAGGATTTCATTAGGATTTCAAGGTGATATGAGGATGAAATACTGCTGCTTCCGTTCAGAAAAAGATGTAATGAAGTACATGAACACCCCCAATGTCAGTTCTTTATGCACTGAAAATATGACACAAGTAGTTTTGTCTTAAATTTCAATCCCAGATTTTTCTGCTAAGAGATCTCTTTGCTTTTTGGCTTTCTCTGACAGGCAGCCACATATCCATTTTGGTCACAACAGTCTTTTGCAAAAGTGCCTGGCTGCGAGTGGAAGCAGGAAAAACAAAGAGGACTGAGCACTGCCCCTGCCATGAAATGAGAAGTTAGGAAGTAACCTGGTGAAACATGCTCAGAAGAAACCTCAGACATTTCTTAGCATCAAATTCAACATCATCTGTCACACTCGGATCAAAGCCCCATCAGCTTTCCAGGTTCACGTTCTGTCTGAAAAGGAGCTGGTGCATAAACGTATCTCCAGCAGCAGATACAAAGCTGGAGCTATTTTTCCCATCCCCACTGATCCAAGTGACCTTTGCTGCAGAAACAGGCCGTTTGTCACAGAAGGTGACAGGGCAGACACCTGAGCATATAATCTGAACATGCCAGCATCTTACCTTTGTACTAAACACAGAAGCCAAAATATTGAAATATTAGGAACAAGATCTTCCCCACTGGTCCATTATCTACAAACTCTCAGCAGCTGAGCAAAGTCCTCAGTGTTCAACAAATTATTGCACATTTTCCCTGCTTGCATTTCTGCATTTCCATTTAGCAATCGAGGAATTGTTCCTTTCCTGCTCCACAGATGAGCTGGAAATGAACAGACTTTTGCTTATTTGTTTACACAGTATATAGAGTAGTCCAAAATCAGCTTGTCGAAATTAGATCACACCATTAAAAACCAGACACCTTATGCACTAGAAAAAAGAAGATATTAAAACAAAGTTAAATTATCAGCATAAACATCTACTGTTCTCCCCAAGACAGCAGCTAAACATAATGTAAAGCTACTGTGTAAATTTGGTCTTAGTATATTGACTTCATCTTCTTTATGGTCAGATGAATGGTAGAAGGACATTTATCATTAACTTCTACTGGAATTTTCCACACAAAACCAAGCAGCAAGTAGAAAAAAGGAAAATAAGATTTGGTCTAAAAAGGGAAGCCTACAAGGTGTCTGTGTGGACTTTATGCTGAGGGGAGAAATAAAACCTCTCATTTAGGGAACTGGAGTGGGTGGAGTGGTTACCAACCGGCAGAAAAACCCTCCACGGCCGAGTGTTTGTATTAAGAGCAAACCAGCCGTGGCTTGATCTCTCCTGCATAAACACCACAAGCATGAATGCACATGTTTCTGTGCAGGGGGGGTGGGAATTAAAGCTTTCTTGTCAGAGTTTTCCAATCTCAACTTACTGGTGTTTATTTGAACTCTAAAATTATCCAATAGAAAAAACGCACTGGTATTCCTCACCAGGGAAAAAAGTAAAGCAGCAGTTGTTGTTCCACATCCCATGTATCTGCTTGTAGTTTCTTGATGAAAACTGATGCGAGTCGAGTTTGGGGTCAGTTTTAGCACCAGGAATTATCTCAAAACTCAGCTTTGACAAAAGCAAGCAGAAAGTTTTCTCTCCGATATAATACAACCAGGTTTTATTTAAGTTCTCTCTTTCCCCCCCCCACACTGGCAAAAGTTCAGAGGGAGTTTAAAGTTTTGTAAACATTTTAACTACCCCTCTTCCCCCTTTTATGAATTTACAAAGCAAAGGAGACAGGGAGACCAGATTTGCAACAGTTCCAAGTCTCTCCATGCTATTGGATCCAAAAACTATATACAAGTCTGCAGCAGTCTCTGTATAGTTACTGTACATGTTTGGGGGCAGGGGGAAGAGAGAGGGGGGTTGGGGGGTGGGAAGGTGACCCCAAAAAATTAATAAACCAAACGAAATAAAATCCAAAGCCAAACTGCTCTTGAGCAACTCGAACTGTTTTCTTTAGGCAGTGATGACAGAACAACAGATACCTTATACAACTCCACCAAAACTGTAGCGTATCTCCCCTGGCAGGTTATAACCCTCTGGAAACAGGAGATGGGACCAGGGGGTTGAAACTAAGTGTGTTTGGCAGTTTTCATTTTCCTTCTTTTGTGGTGTGTGCATGTGGGCAGGTGGAGAAGGGAAGATGGTGTTAATCTTTTGGTGAGAGAAGAAGGTTATGATTCCATAAATACTTAAAGATTATGGATCCCAGTGAAGGTGCGTGAAATAGTTTAAGGTGTAGAATATAAGCAGGGCCATCATTGCACATCACTTCGCCCTCCACAGTCTCTCTTCATGACAAAAGGGCATCTCTGCTCATTAACCTAAGCACTGCTTGAAATGACAACTAGCTACAACTGCTGGGGTATATATTGGAAAGCCAGTGTTCACCCTCACCAAAGACTAAAGATCCACATGGTCAAGATCCTACTGTCTCTTAAACGAGACAAATTTGCAGGAAAAGAGCTCAAAATAAACTGGTCCTAACCCTCCAAAGGTAGCTTTTAAGGGATAAATTCAACCTGAAAGAAGAGACGCCACCCCCCTTTTTTTCCCAGAGTAGAAGTCCCCACTTGTCCAGGAAGGCTGGAGTATGCCGACAGGGAACTCCACCAGCTTCAGCATCACCACCTAATGAAGACAGACTCGAGCTTTCCCTCCAGAAATAATGTGCTGAGAAGGGCTGGCAGGGGGTGTGCAACTTCAAACCAACCCAAGCTAAACTGCGCCCGCCACCGCCCCTCTCCTGCTGTTGCCAGTTCTAAGGTTAGCTTATGAATGCAACTCCTGGCTTGGGAGAGCACCTCTTGCCCTGATGGAGCGCGGAAGTCAGTATCTGTGTGGCATTTTGGTTTTGACCAACATCTGTTAACCACAAACTCTCTCTCTCTCTCTCTCTCCATGACTGCACATGTTGGATGTGGTAAGAGTAACCAGGAGAGGGAAGCAATGGTTTGCAGAATCCCAATTGATTTTTTTTTTTTTCCAGGTATGTCAGCAGAAGAAATCACAGCACAGTGAAAGCTTGCTGCCCAAATCAGCCTTGTTGTGAACGAATCCTATCTCCCACCCTCCCAGGACTCTGAACAAAGTCCACTCAACTCTAGGCTGACAGTAGGAACAATGCCTGCGCAGTCCTGGGCAGAAAGGGTTTGCTGGGGCCAGAGGAAGCAGCCTGAGATGATTGATTCTGTGATTCACTGCGAGGTGAAGAGCGCATGGTGGAGAGCACTGTGTCCAAAACGGAGAATCCATGGTTAACAGATGCAGGAAAAGCCAGTTGATTTGCACATGCTCAGTAGTCTTCCAAAGTCTCTATTTCTCCCATATTGAGCCGCTCTGATGAGGCATTCACTGAAAACCCTGTAAACCAAAAAGGACTTGTGTTAAAAATCTGGCTGTGGTACACTGTAACTGATGCAATATACCTGTTACATGCATGTGTAAGATAACGCAAATAATATATACCAAATAAAAAGCCGGGGGGAATTCAGTATGGCTAGAGATATAATTATCCAAACTATCTGGGATTTATTCTTCAATAAATCAAAGATAATCAACTGTACATTTAGGTAAGTATCACTTGGTCTTTAAAAACAGATCAACAGAAGACTGGTTTCAACTTTCATTTCAAAGACATCCTCTGCAGAGCTATACAAGGCACACCCAGACACAGTGGGGACGTGGCTCAGCAGCATCTTGGGAGGGAGCACGTTTGAGTCAACTGATACTTGGAAGTGCCTGCCAATACTGTACTTACGTGGTCCAAGAGGCAGAAATACACATTTTCTGAACTCAGAATCCAAACGTGAAATCATGCTCACTTCAGGGAGTGATCAATATGGGTTTGCCCCCCAACTTTGAAATCTAGTGGCAACTCAAGGTATTTCCAAGCTTTTTTATAATCTTTTATCTCAGGAGTACAACATGAAAATGTACGAAGTTATGCAGATGGTTCAAGATGCACCTAACCTTCTACCCAACCTTTTAACCGTAAGTGTAAGGACATGATACACCTGAGGAAAGCGTAAGAAAAAGCAAAAACATATTCTGCAAGGAAAAAATCCAATATATCATATGCAACTTTCCTACTGAAATCCCATTTCTATGGTTGTACCAACCCCATATGGAGTATGAGAAAAGGGGAAGTTTTCCTGTGTGAGTCTACTAAACACAAACCTGACGTTTCATTGTCTTGAGTCCTAGGCAGGCTTGCTCTGTGCTAGGGAAACAAGCCGCTTTTCACAGTCATTATCTTCAACAGATAAAAAGTGCTCTGTTCAGTTTAAGAAAATTGTTCTGGCTCCCTCTCGTGGCAGTATATTACCTAAAAGGTTTTAGAATTATTTTGTTATCAAGCATACTGATGTTTAAGAAGCTGCATGTGCTATTTCTCTTACAGTTACAACTTCTTAATTGTATTTAGTGATTTCTTCTTCACATTACACGAGCAGGTTTTTAAAGTATTCAACTGAAGACCCAGATCAGACTCAGTGGATTGGCACCTAGCAGTGGCTAAGGCAGGACTCCACTGAGAAGTTCAGTATACTTCAATGCAGAAATATTAGTACTGATTTTGTTGAGAACAAAAAGGGAAGATAAAAACCAAAAGGTAGGGCTCTGTTAGAGCCTTAAAAAAAGCACTTCCAGGGGGTTAATTCCAGGCTGCTTTACATGAATATGAGCTAAGTGGCACCAGCACAACAAATACTGGCCCAGTGCAGTGCCTCAATTTCCTTTTTATCACACACAGCACAAATGTGGACACATTTATAGTACAAAAATACTGGAGGGACACATTACATCCCACAATGCTCACTACTCATGTATTTACGTGACGCCCTTGTATCCTAAAGGCCACTTTAAAGAAACCTTTCCATGCTACAGAGGCTGGTTAACTACCATCCTCACTTAAAAACTGAGAACATAAGAAATAAATAAATGAATAAGGACTACTAATGATGTCATCATTTACACTACCTTCAACTGAAAACCTGTGACCACTTTATAACTCCCCCCCCCAATATCTTTTCCATCTTTTCTGGTTAGGGTGGTTAGCTCACGTCAAAAGGTAAGAAGGAATAAAGGTAAGCCTCAAGAAGCTGCTCCTCATGAAGAAACAGAGAATGTGATTTTCTTAAAAGAATGAATCAACAATAATTTAATAAAATAGGCCTAGGTCAACTCAAAAGAGGATGGACAGTTTAACCGACATCCCTGAACTACTTAAAGGTTTCTAGGTAATAACCAAGGTAATGAAGAGGCCTTCTCATGAGGGAAAGTTTGACAAACGTTTCCCATGAAACCGATACAGAATTTTTTTAATCATTAATTAACAACACTGAAACAAATTCCAAAGATGCTTCAACAGCTACCTTTTCTGATCAAAGTCAATACTCCCATTTAAGGTTAACAAGAATTGTATGCTCCACAAGGCTTTTCCCAAATTAAACATTAAGTTCTAAAAATTCAAACTGACCTAACAAGCTGGGATCTGCGCGAACCATTTTCTGTTTCTTCTTTTTCTTCCCACTCTGCACAGCCTCAAAATTGGATTGCTGGTTGTTGCTCTGATTGGTCTGAAAGACTGAATGTAGCGAACTGTGGTTCATTCCCCACACCGAATCCTAGAAAACAAAGCAATTACAAGATTATAAAGTGTCATTAAGTTTGGTGCATTTATATTGAAAACATTCAGAAAACCCAAAGCACCTTCTACATCACCTGTGGTAGCACTAGCCACTGATGCATCCATCCAACACATCTACCTCATCTTTGTAAAGCATATCCAGGATCAGCATAGGAAGACTATTTGATCTACAGTTGGCTTCAACTGTTAGTTATAAAAGAAACTTGATTTTGCAGTAAATATTTGAAATCTTACTTATTCTCTGCATTTCACATGACCTGTAAAATCCTACTTATCCTCCTAGCCATCTAGTAAAAACACAGACTCTTCAAACTCAAATATAGTCTCTGTATGCCCCTAAGGACTATAGTGAGATTCACCTGTTGCTGCTGTTGTTGCCGCTGCTGACTGGCTTTCTGTTTGGCACGGCGCTCAAGAAACTGCTTGGCAAACTCCTTGGCCTCAGGAGTATCTCCAAGATAAGCTCTGATGTAATCATGGACCTCATAGGGAGACTCCACTTCCTTCAGGAAAGAAACAAACGTGGGAACTGCAAGAAGAAGGCAGACCATAAGGGAATGCACGTTGATATGTGAACACATACAAGCAATGAACACGAACTCTGGACTTCTGTTTCAAATATTTGCTAGTCTGGTAGCCATGGCAAACAGCTTGCCCTTCCAAGTTCCCTACAGCAAAGCCCTATGATGCAATGCTTCATCTATTCTGCAGTCAAAGCAAGGGTAAGAAAGCCAGCTAGTGTGGTGAGAAGGAAAAACAAACTGACA